TCATAAACTAGGCTAGCATGTGTCATGTGTCACGGTGGTTAAAACACTGAACTCCCACATGGCAGACCAGTGTTCAAGTCCTGGACCTGGCCGCTAGAAAATCACACCAGGTGCGGTGTGTGTATGTGCACCAAGTCCAGAGAGGAGAACAGAAGAGAGGGAATTGCAGCATGGCTATCCCTCCTGGAGGTGATTTTTCACTGTCTCTCCCTGGTGAACACAAGCACCCTATAGTAAAAACAAAACAAAAACAAGACCAAAAAATACCCACCTTAAATTTTTGCAATTTACCCATGCATTAAGGAATATTGCTACATTTCAAGATGGCATCAGTTGTTAATCTTTCCATAGGGTGTGTGCACTCGCTGGAGACAGACAGAAAGCGATAGTAAAAGAGAAAGTGAGAAACCACCTTCCCCCGCCCCCAAGGTGGATGGCCACACCATAGTCTTCTCCATTTTCCGCCTGGGATTTTGGGCATGCATGCACATGTCTAGTATGATTTTCAAGTCGCCAGGGGATTCAAACCATGGTCAGCCATGTGAGTCCAGCACCTTAACCACGTCACCTGCCGGCCTCTGACATCAGCTTTTATAGGTACATGGCCATCTTCAAAATCTCTGCTTAATGGTCTTTCTTTTTAGAGAGTAGAAATTATCACCAGAAATTGAAGAGAAAAATCTAGTGTTAATCATATGAAACTTACATACGCATGTGATGTTATGTATTATTCTGTTTTGGGCAATTTTGCTAAGACAACTTAATAATTTTTAAAGAGGTTTTGCATTAAAATAGTCCCGATTTTATGATCACTTTAACATCGTTTTTGCTAATTGCTCATTTCTGATCATCTAAGTGAAGTGTATTAACCAAACACCCACAGTCTCAGGTCTCAGACGTGAGAGCCTCCAAAGGAAACAACAGAACATGTTTTTGAGGAGTATCTACAAAGTAAGGTTCTCTGTAGCTGTGTAGATGAGAAACTGATGGAAGGAAACTGCTTGCTTAGAATAAAACTACTGAGTAGCTCCTTTTTATTTATTTATTTATTTTGGAGAGCTTTTTGCTATAGGGCGTGTGCACTCACCAGAAAGACAGAGAGACAGAAAGTGAGAAATCACCCCCCAGGGAGGATGGTCACTCCACAATCCCTTCTCCTCCATTCTCCTCTTGGGATCTTGGGCATGCACGCACGCGCGCCCGGCGTGTTTTTTTTGTTTGTTTGTTTTGTTTTTTTGGAGAGGTTTCTGCTATAGGGCGCATGCGCTCGCCGGACAGACAGAGAGAGACATAGAGACAGAAAGCGAGAAATCACCCCCCAGAGGGGATGGTCACGCTGCAATCCCTTCTCCTCCATTTTCCTCTCAGGATCTTGGGCACACACGCACACGTGCCCGGTGTGGGTTTTAAGCCACCGGGCCCAGGACACAAACCGCGGTTGACCACGTGGGAGTCCAGCAACATAGCCATTATGCTAACTGCTGGTCCACTCGGCGTGAGTTTTAAGCCACTGGGTCTGGGACTTGAACCATGGTCAAATACATGGGAGTTCAGCGACATAACCATTACACTAACTGCTGGTCCCTCTGAGTAGCTCCTCTTAAAGATTGTCCTTTCCCACACCCTGGGAAGAAACTGAACTAGTAGTTTGAGACTTCAGAATGGTAGTCCGTGGGTAAAACTGATCTATGATACTAGTTACATTAAGTATATTTGTTTCATCCTACTTCATTCCATAAAAGGTTTGAGGGTATTTATCACCAGTAATTTCCTCAAAATTGAAAAATTTTTAAAAAAGAATAGAGTCATGAAAAATGTATAAAGAATAGGAATTTAAATTAAGCCAGAGGTCCCTAACCTTTACTGTGCTTTAGAATCACCTAAGTGGGTCAGTGGGTGGCATAGTGGTTAAGGTGCTAGACTCTCACCTGGTCTACTGCGGTTTGAGCCTCGAATCTGGTGACTTAAAAATCACACCAGGCACTGTGTTAGTGTGCCCACAATTCTGAGAGGAGACTGGAAGAGAAGGGATTATGGCATGGCTAGCCCCTCTAGGGGGTTATCTCTCACCTTCCTTCTCTGTGTCTCTCTCCAGTGAGCACATGCATTCTACTGCAAAACCGAAAAAAAAAAAAAAATCACCTAAGAATTCTGATGCCCAGCTAGCACCCCGTACTACAGCAGATCAGGGTGTCTGGGGTGAGAGGCGGAGGGCAGCAGTCTTACAGACCTCCGGGTGTTTCTGTGTGTAGCAGGTTTGGGGGCCACTGGTCTAGGCCTAGCTTCTCATCCTACATGCACACGAGCATCCTCGGGATGCAGCCGAAACTGTTGATACCTGAATGATTGAAACTGTGGTCTCCTGTGCTGGGGCCTGGTACTCAGTCTATTTTAGGGCTCTCCCAATGATTTCAGTGTGCATTCAACGTAAAGGAACCACCGGATGGGAGAAAGTTGGTATTCAGTGACACAAGAGACTGATGTAATTTTTTTGTGGATCCTTTTATAGCTTCAGGCCATCAAATTGGCCTTGAGTATCCTGGTGGCCACAGTAAATGGAAAAACACCAATCAGTTGTAATTATGTTTATCATCCACATGCAAAAGCTTACCCGTTCTTTGAGAGAAAACAAGCTTTTTCTCAGAGGTCTAAAATAAATCTCTGGTCAGCATTCTTACTGGGTATGTTGACAGATGACATGGATCATGCTTTTATTATATATACACCCCATAATAAATGACACTTGGCAAGTTTCACATTGTAGTTTCTAATAATAATCCCTCAGGGAAAACCAAGGACGTGCCCCCAGAGTTCAGGGGTCAGACTTCTTGCGGGTGGGACGTGGGAGAAGGATGACAGAGGACAGCAAGCGGAAGCAAGTAAGCTCTCTCGCCACAGTTTCTAGAGGATACATTTTACCCAAAGATTAAGCCTGGAGCCGGGCTCCTCTAGGGTGTAGGGTGGGTGTTCTGTGAATTAGAAATTATGTTTTATCAGAAAATTTAAACATTTAAAAATATATAAACTGTGTATTTTTTTTTTTAGAGAGAGGTTTTCGCTATAGGGCGCGTGTGCTCGACAGACAGAGAGAGAGACATAGAGACTGAAAGCGAGAAATCACCCCCCAGGGGGGATGGTCACAACGCAATCCCTTCTCCTCCATTCTCCTCTCGGGATCTTGGGCACACACGCACATGCGCACATAGTGAGTTTTAAGCCACAGGGTCTGGGACGCGAACCGCGGTCGTCTACGTGGGAGTCCAACAACATAGCCATTACGCTAACTGCTGGTTCCCTAAACTGTGCAAATTTGACAAAGGTATGGCTAGTGAGGATAGACCCTCTCTGGTCCTCTTCCCATCCCTAGGAGTGAAGGGCATCTTAGAAGGCGTTTGTGTATACCTTTTGTTATTAAAAGAAATGAAGTTTGGAAAGTGGGAAGACTGGTGTGGAAAGATTGAGCAGGGGTCCGTCTTTTAAACACCCTTTCATATACTTCTCCTCAGTTAGACTTTAGAGGCGCCTAAGTACTGTTGACTTAATGGCTCAGGATTTCTAGAACAGGGTGTTGACTCCGTAGGGGCTGTCTCGAAAGAAAACCTGTGAGACATAACCTTTAAACCACAGTCCTGTTGCAGGGAGGCAAAGAGAGCTTGAGTTACCCCACAACGATCTAGGAAGGCAAACAGCTTTTGAGTAACGTGGCTGGGAAGGGGCGAGCTGATTATTTCGGATCACGTGACTTCTCTCTTTCGTGAATGAAAATCCTAAATGCATTCTTGTTATACCCAAGTAGGCACTTAACATGTTTTCTTTTCAAAGGCAAATAGCATGTTAGGCCTCTTGTTTTCTTTTGGAATTCACAACTGCACTTAACACCTAAATTTAAGGCAAAGCTTCCTGAAAAAGTCTAGTGACGAATTTCTTCCACTTAAAGTAGTTTCTTGCACTCCTATAAATTTGAAGGCTGAAATGAACCGCTTGCTACAGAAACAGTAGCTAGGATGTGGGAAGAACCCCACGGTGGCTAATAAGATGTCTCAATCGTTTGCATATGCAGAGGATAACCTTAAACTTGAGTTTGGTATTTCACGTTGCGTCTCAAAGACGATCTTTTATTCAAAGAGCCACGCTGTTTCCGAGTGGGTGGGTGTGTACAGAGCGGGCGCTGTGCTGGTTTCGTTCCTGAGGTTGACACTGGCAGTGGCGACTCGCAGCCCCACCGGGGCAGCCTCTCCCCGGCGGGGGGCCCGGCCCCGCCCATCGCGCC